GAAAAGAATTAATGGTTTAGGTCAGCACTGTCCCATTTTTATGTATGTATGTAGTCGAATGGACACCTCCCAAGTCACTGTCATATTTAGCTACAGTTACATCACTGTTCCTGACAATGTCATGTCCTATTGCCTTTTAGTAAGACCAGTTGTATAGGCATGGCAGCGTTCACCAAGTCAGGCAACAGACGAGTGCAAGCATCTGACACAACGCAGGGCATGTTACTGTCAAGAGAGCGCTGTATTTGCGTAGCCCTAATGTGCCTGGTAACCGAGCCATCTTACAGCAACTCATCCTTCGCTGGTGCCAGCGGCTGGGGGAGCAACCGTATATCGGAGTGCTTTGGTACACCAGGGCTCCAGCAAGACTAGACTCGTATTGTAGATTGACAAAACATTTCATGCCTACTGTGAGCTTAACATTTTATTCCTTTCTTTCTTTTTTTTTTTTTTTTAAATAAAGCTTTAGCTCTTTGCATTTTTAACATTGTCTGAAGTGGCATATAGAATTTTATTTTTCAGTGACTTCCATTATAATGTTTCAAACTTGAAAAGCTATATTGGCTTTTCAGTGGGTTCAGGGTACATTTGACAGCACTGTTGTATCCAGGGGCTGTCAATGAATTTATGTGATAAAATCTGAGATGAACTGTAAGTCAGGAATGTCCTACTGAGCAGTCCTATTTTTGCCAGAAGCATTTTCCTGTCTAGTAAAGGGGATGAAGTGAAAAGCATTGTGCTGGGGAGAGCTTCCCTCTGCAGCTTCTGGTAGCCGTCTGCCTTAGCTGCTTATGCAGCTGTTTCTCTTTGGAGCCTTTCCAGGGAAACAGTCATTGCTGATCCAGAAAATGTGTTGTTTCATTACATTTCATGCCTATCTCGTGTTGCATCACATTTAGCTCTTTCGTGAATAAACACTTGCCCAAATCCGTGTAGGATATAATCCTGTGGAGTCAGTCAAAGTAATCCTTGGAGCATCCCCGTCGCTTTGGATGCTGTACGAACACCAGGGCCGGTGTAAAGTCCCAGATCTGGTGAAGTGAACACCTGAGGCCCAGAGCAAATGATGGAAGAGAGTTTTCCATGGAAAGGCAAAGCATTCAGTCCCTCTGCGTCCTGCAGGCTACCTGGGTGTGGGCAAAGCCTCCTGTCGCTGTGTGGGGGGGACCCACAGCCGCTGGAGGCACCCGCAGCACCAGGCAGCGGCTTTGCGGTGCATGGGGAAAGCCACCCCTTGGTGCCCGTTTCTAGCAGCATGATCCATTCCTGGAGGTTTTGATTCTATTGGTGATTTGGGTAAATATGACATATAAGCTATCTGAAGTTAAATAATTTAGGCAGATGGTTTTTGATATTTTTTTCACTAGTGTATGTGTGTGTTTCCACTGAAGAACAGAAGTGGTGCTTCTGACTTGGCATGCCGTAGGGGGTCTCTGTGTCCGTCCAGTTCCTGGTGTGCTGGAGTCTAAAATGAATCTCTTCTTTTTCACGTCCAAAACAGATGAAAGGCAGAAATGAGAAAATCTTGAATTCCTGGACTGATTATAGCTTCTGTCTTCATCCCCAGAACATACAGGGAGTGGATCATAATTGAACACACTTTTATTTCCCAGGACGAATTTAGTGGTTGGGTACCTTGGCAGGAGAGGAGTGAGGGATTTGGGGCTGGGCGGTAGCAGTGTAATGCATTGAGCTACAGGAGGAGAGGAGTGAGGGATTTGGGGCTGGGCAGTAGCAGTGTAATGCATGGAGCTACAGCAGGATTTGTCTGTTCTTAACTGTGCAAAGAGATGCTCTTTGGTTGCATCCCCCACCCACATGCTACTACCAACTGGTCGCTTCCTTGACTGTAAGCCTGTAAATGCCAAGAGCTGCTTTTTTACACTTTTCAGGGTAAAAGGATTCTGCCTTTCAGTTGTTAAAGTGGGTGAGATTTTTGTGATCAGGTCATTGTGGAGTGTTACTTTGGTTTTCGTTAAACATAGTGCTTGTATTCTTGTTCTCTCCCTCTTTTCCCTCAAATCTCCTTTATTTCTGTAAGCTTACTTTACTATGTGAAAACCAAAGGAGGCATTCTGCAAATTCTCAGCTGTTGAACTGCATATGTTTTTTCCAGAATGGGATATAGGTGCCTGGATTCACAGGCTGCAGATCTAATAGTGGGGATGGGAGGGGTTGCAAGAGGCCTCTGCTTCGCATCCCTCTCTCCCTTTCCTCCCTGCTGTTTTTTAAGTCATATATTTGTACACTACATACAGGAGTTCATACTGAAAACCTGCGCCTGGCACAAAAGTCACTCTGCTTTTGGAGAGGTTACTTGTGCTGCCATTTAGCTCAGCGCTGAGTGCTTTTATTCAGTGTAGAAACATTTTCTGGAGATTTTCTCAGGCACTGCCATTCTTAAATATACTAATAGAGAGAAAGTAGCATCTCTTATAGTCCGATTGACCTTTGAGTAGAATCAAGCTTATGAGACTTACCAAATGCTGTGTGTGTTTATATTATTACAAGTGAAACTTTCTGTTATCTTTTAATTGTACTGGAAAAAAAATAGATGAAGTTTCTTCTCTATTTCCATCTGAAGGTAAATAATGTGGTGAGTAGTGTGCTTGGTTACAGTGTGGGACAAGATTTATTCAGAAACAAATAATGATGTCTTAGGGAAAAGTACAGTAGTTTTTAACAGTATTGTAGAGACAGTATTTACGCAGCAGCTTAAGTAGTCAACTTTTATAAAATATGCATGGGCTTATTAGTGGTTTATTTTGAAGTACAAAAATTTCTATGCTTCACATAATATTTATAATTTTAAACTGAAATAGTCCTAAATTTGTCACTAGGCATCTGTTACTGGCCTCTAAACTTGCATTAGTCCTCTTCAATGGGATCTTTATAACTAGTATTCTAAAAATACTCTCACAGATGTTTAACTCAAACCTGCATGTCACCTTACTTATGATAAGTTATATCAAGTGTAAAATAAACCCATTTTTCACAGTGTCTCTAGGCAGTTAGGAAGATATTTTGTCAATGGTAACAGGAGGAGGGGAGAGGGCAGAATCCTCCTTAAAACTTTAATGTATGTTGTTGTAGAGCATCAGGAGGAACTAAGTGTTTTCTGTGTGGGCTTTATTACTTGGCACGATCCACTATGACTAAATCTCAAAAGACTGCTTTTTTTTTTTTTTTTTTTAGAAGTTGCATTTATTTATATATAATACAGTTTGTTAGCCAAAAAAACAACCCCACCTTATCGAGCCATGTATGGACTCTATTTGTAAAATGTTTCTAACTGCTTGCTAAACATTGCTGGAAAACTGCGCGGCTGTGAAGGCAGTCACTTGTCAGAGCTCAGAGTTCCCATGTTAATCACAAGCAGCATGTGCAGAAAAGAGCTGACCCAGACTCCACCAGGGATCCTCTCCAGTCAGGATAACATCTGCACTCCATTTTCTTCCTTTATATAATTACATCTCTTGATGCTTTTCTAATATTTAACATGGAGTGAGGAATGTTCTTGTGAAATTATGAATTAAACATGTTCTTTTAGGAGGAAGAAAGCCAAGTGGCTAATGCAACAACCTAATTTAACTTATATAATATCTCTAGTTAACAAAACACTTGCCTAAAGCACAGCAAAAGCACCTCACAGGAGCTCTTCTTTCAGTGGGAATTTATTTGAATTATTTGTGCAATTTTAAAAAGATTTTTTGCACTTTTATGATTGGGTTGGACAAAAGTAATGGACAAAAATCAGCACCAGATAATTTTTGCTTAAGTTCTTAAATTTGAAAACAAATGAGGAACAAACCAAAATAAATAAATGACCCTATTTTATGAAATTGAAATGTAATGGGAACCAGACTCGTACCCAGCGAGCCTCCAGATACAGTCTGTGCTTGCTTTGAAACTGTAATCACTGTCTGGCTCTGTGTGCGGGACGCACAGGAGCATGTCTGGCGCGTGAGATAATGGGTTTGGATTTGCAAGGCAGCCCAGCTCGGCCCTGCGGCCACAGCTCTCCCTCCGCCCAGGCCACCGCGTCTTCCCTGCCCCAGCTCGGCGCTTGGGCTGGTGGCAGAGATGTTGGGAAGCCTCCGTGGGTTTTGGGGGGAGATGTGGAACAGGAATGTTGTCCAGCTATAAGACTCTTTTTAATCAGTTTTTAGTAATCAGGAACGTGTAGGCATTAGCTATGTTTGGGTTTTAATTAGTTTGCTGTCTGGAAATCCTTTGCTTGTTAGTCTGTGAAAACTTACAGCTGTCAACTAAAATTTGGGCAAGAATTCTCTGTAATCATTTCTGAAGCGGTTCTTCTGAGGATGCCCAAACCTAGATTTAAGCTCCTAAAATGTGATTGTCCTGAAGGTGAGGATGCTGACCATTGGGTGGAACAGGACGGGCCAAGTTCCCCGGCTCTGGTGAAGCAGGACCAGCCTGCTGCCTTTTCTTGACATGCCCTGCTTTGCAGCAGCAGTGAACTGGGCTGTTATATTCAGAATACTCCCTCACTTGAAAGGGAGAGTAACTGATACTGTAAGACTCCTGGCTTATCATAGATTTGTCTAACAAGTCTAGCAAATGCACACCAATTTTCTCTTTAAAACAAAAAAACCTACACCAAGAGCACTTATTTCCTTTCCCCTCCCTTTTATGTAGCTGTAATCCTTTTCACTGCAAGCACTTCTGAAACACTAAATGTGAGTTAGAAATGTACAAGCAGATGCTCAAAAGTGTTTGGCTTTTTGCTGTTTCTTCTGTTCAATGTTTTTATCAGGTGCTTTTATGTCTGCATGAATCACAGTTTATCTTCCTGTAAAAATTGACTGAACACCACATGCAAACAAAATTTGAATGTTTATTCATTTAAATAGATCACTTAAGTACACTCTCAGTAGTGTAAGTCCAGTTGAATATCAAGTCATACCAATAGAGTAAATTAGAAACTCTGTGGAAGTCAACACAAAACCCTGTGTCAGACTCCTTCTTTTCCCTGCTAGTGTTTAATTATTGGAGGTGGCCCATGTGGCTTGCGGACTGCCATAGAACTTGCCTTCCTGGGAGCCAAAGTCGTCGTTGTGGAGAAGCGGGACACTTTTTCAAGAAACAATGTGTTGCATCTCTGGCCGTTTACAATCCATGACCTCCGGGGACTGGGAGCAAAGAAATTTTATGGAAAATTCTGTGCAGGATCTATTGATCACATCAGTAAGTATCTGAGGGTATGGGCACTGTTCAGGTAAGAGGTTTACCGAGGTCAGAAGACGAATGGAGACTTTCTTGGTTTGGCAGAGAGCTCATCTGCCTTAAACATGCGTGAGTGTAGGCACGCACACACAGAGAGGGAAAAAAAGGGTCTCATTTAAGCAAAATGGTAATTGAACAAATGACAGTCTTATGGAGCAGCTTTTTGTTAGTCTGGATTTGTTAAACAAGAGGGTTTTATTACAAAGTATGAAGAAGTATTAATTCCAGTATGTTGAAGGTAGACACAACCCTTAATATAATGAGAAAATATGCAAAGGTGGGATATATTATGGGGAAATATGCTCTAAAATTTCCTGTCCTAAAATGGTCAACATATGGGTTAACAGATCCTTTAAATATCATTAAGAAGGAAAGCTCTAAAGAAAATATTCTAAGAAACCCAGTGAAATGAGTTTTATTACCTACAAGATTGAACTGTGAGAGGAAAATGAGATGGAAGGGAAAAGGATCCTGTAGTGGTTACAGCATCTACATTTGTCGCAGTATGGGAAATAATAATGCTGCATGCTTGTTTTAACAATGAGTATCAGTTGGGTGGCATGCTGGTAGCAGCTGTGATTACTTGCATATTAAATATATCTTTGTTACTCACTGTCTACAGGTATTCGACAACTTCAGCTTATCCTCTTCAAAGTTGCACTTATACTAGGAGTTGAAATCCATGTGAATCTAGAATTCGTGAAAGTTCTGGAGCCTCCTGAAGATCAAGAAAACCAAAGTATTGTTTATCATAGTGTAGTTCTGTTCACAGTAACTTCTTTTTATGTCGGGCACTATGTGAAACCATGCAAGGTGGTTGAATTCTGTTTAAAGAAATGGTAGGGTTTTGCTCTTCTTCTTCAGCTTGGTTTGCTCTATGCAGTCGTAGGCATGATAAGTATCGTTGTGTCAGACCACTAACAATTCTTAAAATACGACCCGGTCTGAGAAGCTGAGGTTTTGCACTATGCTTTCTGGCATGTGTTTGAGGCTTTGTAGGGAGTCTGGTGTGGCTTTTTGGTATCTTATTGCAAAAACAATTTTTGATTGATAATATAAATATTGAGGATGGATTAATCTCCCTGGGCCTCATTTTGCTTCACATTTGATATAACTCCCACTGGCACACAGTCTTATCAGCTGTCATATGCTAGATTTTTCTTAAAAAATAGAGGAAGATTTATCTTTTTTTAGATTAGTATTTAGGGTGTAGTAGCAATAGAATATTTTAAAAATTTAATTGATATACTATACTGTCTTTAAATGGTCATACAGTAACAGTAGAATAAATATATTGCTTTAAGTATTTAAAGAATATATAATTTGAAAATATGGACAATACAAACATTTTCACATAATCAGCTTTGTGTTAATGCAAAGATTAAATTTAGATTTTTCAGTATGCTGCTGTTTAATTTCTATTTAGAAGACACAAGTATTGGTGATGGATTGCTATTTTCCTTCTTTTAAAACCCATCCCTTTTTTGCTGTTACCGCATATGTGTACTGACCTGATAAGGTCATTGTGGGGCTGTTTCAGTGGGAATGAAGTGCTTAAATACATTGTTGTGATATGAGTCTGAGAGGAAGTCGAGTGCATTAGGTGATCCAGATGAAGGCTTCCGTTTATTTTGTTGTTAGTTTACAAGCTGGACACCTTGCTAACGCAGCCTGAACATAGCTTTGACTGCAGCAGAACTTCCCTGCATCGAGCTGAGGCAGATTTCAGCTCTGCTTGAATGAGAAATGCGCTTTCTTCAGACTCTGCAAGGACTTCTCCATTGTATTACTGAAGAATGAATAAATATTATTCTTTGTGTTTTTAGAGATAGGTTGGAGGGCTGAATTTCTCCCTGTGGATCACCCTTTGTCAGAGTATGAGTTTGATGTTATTATTGGTGCAGATGGCCGCAGGAACACATTAGAAGGTAGGTGAACGTGTGATTTTAGCCCTATTAATGGTCTTCAGGGTATTTTGGAAGGCCTGAGAGTCACAAAGCAACAGGCTACCTTTCAATCCACTGAAGCCTGCGTGGAAACTATTTTTTATGTGGTCCCTTCTGCTTTTGTTGTTAAGTTGTGCTCAAAATAAAGGCATTTAATGTCATGACTGATTTCCAGCACTGTGTGTCTGCATTGCCTCTAAAATGCATCATGATGCCATTGTTCTTGCTTCGAGGTTAAGTGGTTGTGATGATTTAACTTAAAGGAAGATGACAAGATACATATGGGGAATGGCATAGCCTTTGCTATTGGGCTGTAGATTTGCGCTATGTGTTGGAACTAATGATCAAAGTGAGACTGCCGGGTGTTTCATCAGAGGTATCACTCTTTTAGAGAGTTGGTTTAATTTTAGAAGCAATTACTTTGGAAATTACACCAGAAGATAATAAGTAACTTGGGGGCATGGGGGGCAGGAAGAGGAGGGAAATGCTTCATGAGCTTGAGCCATTGGTGAGAATTCAGACCACCTGAGCTGACTTTGTTGGTGAGACACTAGCTAAGCTGCTCCCATATCACATGAACAAACCTGTTACTTAATTATATATTCCCCTTGTAGCTTTAATTATATCCATGTTAGTTTCAGTTCACTAAGTGCAGTGTTTCCTTTTTTTTATTAGCTTCATAGTTTGTCTGCATATTCTTACATCTGCCAACCACAATATGCTTAGAGTTAATTCCTTATAACGCTCTATTAGAAAATTCCCCACACTATTGTCTGGCTATCCCCCATAAAAGACTGTTTAAGTAGTCAGGTGTCAGCAGAACAAAATGGTTCTCACTGCAGCTGCAGACTCCATTTAGAAGTTATTGATTATCATAGTGCCAGGTTACAAAGGATGGTTTACATATGGAAGCTGCTATTGTCACATCAAGTTTATCCCAAGGAAATAATGAGAGCGTATTAAGAATCACAGAGAGAAAAATTCATAGCTGACTGATTTCTTCTTAGAAAATACATGTATTCTCTGAAAAGTCATCTTCAGTTGGCTTAAAATACTCTAAGGACCCTCTGTCCCATTTGAGAATTTCCTTACAGATAAGGGGAATATGCAGAGGGAAAGCCTTAAATGTGTGATTGCAGAAGTGTGGCTTAGCAGGCTTTTTCACAAAAAAAGGGGAAGCTAGGATCAAGTGAGAGAGCAAGTAACTTCTCAGTCTGTCTCACCTTGGAAATATAACGGTTAAGCCACTGAATATTTTTCAACCCCTAATATCTTTGAAAAACCTCATTACCTGGTATTGTGCACACCTAAGCACTGTTACAGAGGTTTCTATTTTTCAGATCATTGCTGCTTTTGACTGCTGATCTCTTGCATGTTTTTTTCATAAGCTGTTTGCCACCTATTTAATTAAAATTTTATTTGCTATTTAGCATGGTAAAAATGTTTCCCTCCGTTAAATTTGATCTGCTCTATTTCCAGTCTGTTTTTATATGTCATCATTTGTCCTTAACTTCTTCCCATAGTTCCCCTCTGGACCAATTTTTTATTTTTTTTTTTTTTGAATGAGACTCTATCTTGAATGCAGTATAGCTCCAGTTTTGCAGCTGGAAGTGAAGAGAAAAGACTCTTTGCATCCAAGGCAATTTTGAAGAAAGACAGAATCTGCTGCTGGTGTGTTGTTGATGAAGTGTAGGACTAGACCTAGGAAAGAGACTGAGCTGCCTTGAGCTGACCGTCCCTGAAAGTCCAATGGGAAGTTTCCAGTGTTTTAATTCTTTTCTTTGCTTACCAGGTTTCAGGAGGAAGGAGTTTCGTGGAAAGCTGGCTATAGCTATCACTGCCAATTTTATAAACAGAAATACAACTGCAGAAGCCAAGGTAGAAGAAATTAGTGGTGTTGCTTTCATCTTCAATCAGAAGTTCTTCCAGGACCTTAAAGAGGAAACGGGTGGGTGCATCCTCATTTTTTCCACAACCAAATACAAGAGGCAGTAGAGGAACTCTTTATGTGCCAAGCCATCCTCCTGTTCCTATTAACATCAAATTAACTATACTATATAAACCCAAGGTGATAAAATGCTGTTGATGTCAGAATCTTGCAGATGAGGGTGTCCATTTATGGTATGGTGTGATATTTTTTTTTAGCTTGGGCGTTGCCACATCATAGCTTGTTTTAATGTTTAAATTTTTCTCAGCTGTAAAAATGTCTGCTATGTTGAACAAATTTAGAAGAGCATTTTCAGTGCCCAGAGATTTCCCTTAAGACATGGTTTGTTTTGTTTGTATCCGTTCACATACTGAACAGCTTAAACTCAGTGAAAAAGGCTCTGCCCTTCTGGGAGGAGTTTATTCTTGCTTTTTGATGTGTAGATCTGATAAACTGAAAAGAACTAGACTGGAATCTGCCAAAAATACTTAAAATATAAACTGTGAGATACATCTATATTAAAAGGGGTTTCAGAATAGTTGCATCCACTGTCAGTGCAAGCAATTCCATTCATGATTTACAGCTGATCATTATTATTATTACTGAAACCCAAACTCCTGGTTAGACCCAATGGCAGAGTCCTAACAACCTAAAAAGCACTTTGTTCCCTTGGTTCCCCTTTTCTACCTCAGACAATTGTTGAGGCTGTAGTTAATTGGCTATTCCTTAAAAGGATGCTAAATAACTTTAAATTGTACTGAGGTAAGGCTGATCTCCTCTCTTGATTTGTTTTTGTTTGGAGCATCTTGTCCACTAATGCTTCATCCCAGCTTCACGGTGAATGCATCCTAAGAAGGAAACGCATCTGTGGGGACAACATGTTGTTAGTAAATGGCACAAACAACGCATTGGACTTCATAACTAATATATTATCTCTTTTCAGGGATTGACCTGGAGAATATTGTTTACTATAAAGATAGTACTCATTATTTTGTGATGACAGCAAAAAAGCAGAGTCTTCTGGACAAAGGAGTGATTATTAATGTATGTAAAAATGCTGGCTAAAACCCTGTTTTATTTACTTGGCACAGAATGCATAAAGATTGTTGCATGTTAGGGTGTTTATAGACTTACTAGATCACTTAATTGAAGCTCAGATCACTTAGATCTGACTCTGACTTTTCTTTTTTTTTTTTTTTTTTTTTTGTTTTTCCCTTTCAGTCAGCACAAAGTTTCTGTAGAGAACTGAAAACAATGCTTCCTAAATTCATCAGTTCTGAAACTGGCTGAAATGGGATCTTGACTTACCTTGGAAATAAGTGGTGTGGTCGTCATACCAGAAAATAAAAACCTCATTTATTTAATGGTGAACTTAGCACAGCTATGTCCAGTTTTATCAGGCAAATAAGGAAATGTTAAAACCTGCCAAATTGCAAATTCTCTGAAGTGGGTGAAACATGATAGGAGGCTGTAAACATAATGGCAAGAACTTTCAGAGGTACTTGGGAATTTGCGGCCTTTTTTCCTTTTTCTTCCTTTTTTTTTCTTTTTTTTTCTCTTTTTTTTTTTTTCCTTCCCTTCTTCTGTAAGATATGGGGGTTTGTTTCTTTTGTTTCTAGAAAGTGTTTTGGCACCACTTGAATTTCTCTTCCTGGAGACCCAAGAGAGGTCAATTTTTCTTGCAAAGTAAGACAGTGCCAGAACTGTTGAGTATAATTTCCCGAAGGAAGTACTTGTGGGGAGCTATCAGAACGCTTCTTGGCTTTCTGATGGGACCACTCAGCTCAGTGCCATGATGTCCTGCCCTTTTGCAGGACAGGGGCTCCCAGGGCAGAGCGGCTGCCCTTGGCTCGCTGGAGTGGGAGCTCTGGGCCCATCAGAGCTGTTCTGCTGACCTGCTCAGGTCTGAGTGGCAAATGACCCAGTCTGCCTAAAACAACCGGGCTAATAGCGGTTCTGTGGTATCATCCTGCGATTAGGGGTCTCATCCATGATTAAGCTGTAAATAGAAATGGACTTATTAATAATCACTGGCTTTAAGTAGGATGACCTGTAAGGCAGGGACCTTCACGACACTGGCCAAAAAAACACCCAGCCCAAAACAGAACAAGGGAAAAGCTTCTACAATCCAAGTTTGAATGTGTTGCTACTGAGATGTTAAGTCAAACCTCCAGGTTGAGACCCGCATGTGGCGTCATCAGTGCCTTGGTGTTTCTGCTCTCGTGTGGTTTCAGGTGCGGGCTGCACACATGCAAAAAAACATTGCAGTGATGGTGATAACATCTTTTGATGGGAGGGGAGTAGTGTTATGAAAATAACACATAACCGAGGAACCGGGAGGCACTGCAATATTGCGTTGCAAATAAAGCTGCTTATCCAGTGTTGTCACGGAGAGTTCCTGTTTGGGGTGGTACAGTAACCTGTGTTTGTGTATGAGCTTTTTTGGAGGGGATGACAAATCTCACGTGGTTCTTTATGCTGTGTGTGTGCTATGAGACTGCAGCGTTCCAATCCAGAGTGGATAGCTGGAGTATCTAATCCTCCGTGCTTCTCTCCTTGCAGGACTATATTGATACTGAGATGCTCCTCTGTGGGGAGAATGTGAACCAGAGCAATTTGCTGTCCTACGCCAGAGAAGCTGCTGATTTTGCAACCAATTACCAGCTGCCTTCCTTGGATTTTGCCATTAATCATTATGGGCAACCAGATGTAGCAATGTTTGATTTTACTTCCATGTATGCATCTGAAAACGCTGCACTAGTGAGAGAGAGGCACAGACATCAGCTCCTGGTGGCGCTTGTTGGCGATAGTTTGCTTGAGGTATATCTTGGAATGTCTTCCAAGTAGTTTCCCCCCCCTTAATGCGACCATTCAATATACCTTCTAAAACAAACCATCTTCTCTTACATGTCCTGAAACAATGGTGCCTTCTTTGGAATAGATTTTTTTCTTTTTCTTTTTTTTTATCTTGTAGTTTATGTCATGACTAATGCTTGGCTGACAGTCTCTGGCTGAAATCCTGTTTTGCTTTATGCAAGTTGTATTTCTCTCTGAAAACTGAGAGCTGTGTCCTCAGCTTGGGTGCATGGCATAATTTTCCGGACTTCCATCACAGACAAAAGCTTGGTCCAAATTTTTATTGCAGTCGCTTTGCCTTAATATGTTCTCTTTCTGAAGTGAAATGTTTATGTTGCAACTATTTTTTTTTTTTAACTCATGCTGACAGCCTGAAGTGTGTGAAAAGGCCAGTCCAAAGCAAAATTAGGAGATGAGGAGAAAAGGCATGTTTTTCCCCTTTTTTTTCCTGGACTAATTTTTCAGTATCAAGTCTTTTTTTTTTTAGCCTTTACCTTTTGAGGTTAAGTAGTTTGATTTTAAATATAGAAGTTAAAAAAAAGAAAAAATGAAAGCAGTCTTTTTCATTACCTAAGACTTGGAGGAGAGAAAGGTCTGAAAACTACAAGAGCTGGCTATGTTGTATTTTAACTCTTTCTGGGCTACTTTTTTTATGTGTGAAACCCTAGACTCCAAATTCACATTGCAAGTCACGTTTGTGATAAGAACTTAAGAAATGCAAGGAACTGAAATGTAAATGCTTCTTACAGCCCTTCTGGCCAATGGGTACCGGCTGTGCAAGAGGCTTCTTAGCTGCTTTTGATACTGCGTGGATGGTGCGGAGCTGGGCTCAAGGAAAGCCCCCATTAGAAATTCTTGCTGAACGGTGAGTGCTGCTTTTGTCTTCCCATCGTTTCCAGTGTTTTAAAGAGTTGCAGTGTTGGTATAAGGCAGTGGAATTCAGAATGCCATCAGGAGAAATGTTTTTCTACACTGCAATGGCATTGGGCTGAAATGATCCCTTCCTTCAGGTTACTGAACAGTTTAAAATAGCAATAGGCCATTGCTTCTGCACACCAATACCAAGATCCAGCAATGTGCACGACATGGGTTTAAATCACTAATTTAAGTGACTAATGACTAAAATTGTGATCCTTAACGAAATAAGACAAAAATATCTTTTGTCAAAAGACTAACCCTCCAAACATCTCAGCACCTGTTTGTTTTTTTTTTTTAAATAGTTTCCTGAAACAAGTCTGAATAAATACTTCAACGCTAACACCTTTCATAGTTGGTATCTGTGATTTTAACTCTGCATTTTAGCTTAGTAGCCCTGGTGCTGTCTTTACTTAGATAAATGTGTGGCAAAGGAGAATTGCTATAATGCTGCATCATAAGCATCTCTATGTAATGTCTTTGTGACCACAGCAAAAAAATCTGTTAAGTACATCAGCAATCCTGGTGTCGCCATGGTCTGATGGTTGAAGTTGCTGACTTTGGTCCTGATGGCAACTGTGCTGCTCCACTACAGCTGCCCAGGCTGTTTCAGGGCAGATACACAATAGAAATAGTCATGGTTGTGGTAATGCAAGTGGAAGCATTACTAAGTACAGTGCTTTGAGAAGGTTTAAGATAGAAGCCTGTGGGATGACTCAAACACGGCATAGTCCCAAATGGAAAATTGAACAGCATAATAGAAAAGGCTGTGGTGGTTATAGGAGTTGCAGAATGACAGGATTTAGTGCTGTTATGTGGTAAATAAGTTACTCCTTGGGTGGAGGTTAAAGCAAAACCAGATGACTGAATGATGTAACCTCCTTCTTTTTTTCTTCTTTTCCTTGCTCACTTCCTGCCTCATAAGTTCTAAGAGTTTGTCTTTTTGTTGTCCTTTTTCTGTCTGGCATCCTTCTCCTGCTGAGCAGGGATAAGAAATGGGATGGATGCATCATGCATTTAGTATATAACACTTGTGCTGGAAGAATCAAAATAAAGGTGCAGGTGGCTGCAAAAAATAAAATACTCTTTATATAAAAAGTACTTATTTTAATCAATATCTCTTGCACCTTTTTTCTCTATAAGAGAGAGCATTTATCGACTCTTGCCTCAGACTACCCCTGAAAATATTAACAAGAACTTTGACCAGTATACCATTGACCCAGGAACAAGATACCCGAACTTGAACTCAAGCTGCGTTCGACCTCACCAGGTCAGTACTTAAAAGGCTTGCTTGTGAAATCACAGTTCATTTTTTGTCAAGGAGAAATAGGGCCACAAGTAATGCATAAACAAGATCTTCAGGAGACTCCTTAGTTTAGATCCAGCTGTTAATAAAGTTAACCTAGAAAGAAAACTCTTTTTTTTCTCTCCAAGCAGTTCTAACATTATGCTGCCAATTGTTTTTACTTGTAGGTGAGACAATTATATGTTACCAATGAGTTACAACAATGTCCTCTTGAAAGAGTAAGCTCCATTAGAAGATCAGTGAATCTCTCAAGACATGGTACGTGACATCTCGTGTTTGCTGTGGCTTAATATTTGGAGCCTTCTGAGCATACAAAAACTGACTGAAATGTTTGCTCTCCACTGTAACTGCAGAGTCAGATATTCGACCTAACAAGCTTTTGACCTGGTGTCAGAAACAGACAGAAGGGTACCGTAATGTTAATGTCACGGACCTGACTACCTCCTGGAAAAGTGGCCTTGCATTGTGTGCAATTATCCATCGCTTCAGACCTGACCTCATGTAAGTAACATCTGTATATCTTGTTGAGTGGAGGATATATTAAACATTTACTGAATATAGTGTAAGACCATTCATAACAACACTGATAATCTACAGTCACCTCCTATTGCTGGTTTTTGCAAGGAGGTGCACACCATCGCCAGGTTTGGGGGATGGGAAGGGTGAGGTTGTTCTTGCTTTGTTTTTTCTGTATGTCCTTGCGTGCCATTTAAAATTAAATATATATGCTTTCAAAGAGCTAGGAAAGCTTTGAACCTTGTGACTTATGACCATGTTTGTGGGAGTCACACAGCTATTTAAAACAAAAATTACAGTGCTTGGAGAACGTGAAAGTTGCATTCCCAGGTCCCTGGAGACAGGTTTTTACTGTATGTTTAAAACCACAGCCAAAATGGCACTGTCATGAGTTGCAGAAATACCCAAATGAGCCTTAAATGAGTGTGTTGTAGTGATTTCTGTGACAGTCATGTA